TCCCCCCCCCCCTTAATACATTGTGATAGTGGTAATAATACAATCTGTGGATTTGAAATTCTGGTTCAAAATATATTATCCAACATATATTAAATATAGTGGTCAAATGATCATTATAAAGGCAATAACTTCACCAATTGTCAGTGAATAATCTTACTAGAAGTTTAGGCAGTAGTAATACCATTTGTTTATCTAGTAGTAAGGAAAACTGATAAAATTTCTATTAAAACCTGTCATTATTAAGTACTAACTGTATAAAAAAATTTTAGGTTTCAGAAAGAAAATAACGTGTTTCAAGAGAAAAAGAGTGGTAGCGTATCCTTATTATTCTTATTCAATGGTACATGTGACAATTATAATTAAAACTTTTATATTTCGCTGTCTATTCGTTATATTCGATATGTATATCGTTTCGATTGTTGAAAATACGTAGCTATGCTGAGTAAGAAATCACAGTTTTGAAAAAACAGATAAATCAATTCCGATGGTATATTTTACGTATCCTCTTCCCACACGGTTTCAGTGAGGATGGCTATGTTGTCCAATCCTCGCATAGGTGCATACTCCAGATTCCACATCAGATTAGTAAATACGACTGAAAAACATTTATTTCAGTATCACGGAACCATCGAGTTATAATGTGAAAATTCTGAAGTGAAAAAAAAAACTCACGCATCTCGCCTTGATGCAGGTCAGCAATGAGCTCAGGACAGGAACTGTTGCAAGGGTTGATGGGCGTAAGCCTCAGCTGCGTGGCTCCCCGCAATTGTGCCAGTGCAATCAAGCCCGAGTCCAGCTCAACCCTCTTGTAGTTGGGACTGTTGTAGTCCGAGGACATGAGGACCCAATTGAAGTGGGCCGGTGACACGGTGCTCGACAAAAAGTAGGGTCGCTGGTAATACTTCCGAAGGACTTTTACCGCGTTTATGTCGCAGTTCTGCCAGTGGACGAACCACTTAGCGACGCCGGGCGAGTGCACCCGGCGTAGAAACGCGGCGAGGTCGGACGAGCCTGTACGCAGATTCGAGGTCAGAGCGCAGGGTACTGTCTCCATTAGACGCTCGTTTTCCAGATAAAGCTGTTTTGGAATAAGATAATACAAATTTTAAATTTCGTTTACCCGTTCAATGAGTTCTCTCCTTAAAGAAGTCATTACGGCATGGTCTGTTTCAAAAGTTAACTTTCTTGAAAGAAACACTTTTTTTTTATTACATCATTGAAGTCATGGTATACAAATACATTAAAGGTTACAGGGAAGTGAAAAAACCACAAATCAATACCTTATATCCAAATTAGTATGCTATAATCTTTGGTTTTTTTGATAACGAACGTTATTAGCATAGTATTCAAATTCGAAATATGGCTACCACTTTTCAAATAAGGTACGAGCAAGCTTTCTAAAATTTTGATTTTAAATTCTAATTATGATCTAAAACAATAATTATCTTGGATTTTGAAAAAAATTTTAGTTCAATAATCGAAGCAAAGGAAAAAACTGTACAAGTTTGGCTGCGAATATTATAGATGAACCGTAGTACGAGCAAACGACTTGACGACTTAATTTTTCAGAAACTATACCGCAAACTTAAAGATACGTCTGAAATTTCAACATTTTTGTAAGTAATCCAGATGAATTTTTCGAGAACTTTTGAACCAAACGTAACTCCGTAACGATCCTTTTAAACTTAACGAGACAAAATTAACAGCTGTTCAGCTTCATTGGATACGATATGGATATGTTTGTTTCAACTAACGTGTGTAATGTTGTCGAAACGGAAAAAGTCGGTGTTCATCGCGTTCCACGAATTCATGGCGTCCGTGATGATGGCAGGTGCATCTCGGTTGAGGTAATTGTCGACCAGCTGGCGATAACGAACGTCCGATAATCGATCGATAGTATCTACGGCCTCGCAAGTCTGAAACAATTGAGTTTTAGCTTTGATTCATTTTTCCCTCACCGATTAGAGTTGGATACAACGTGCATTGGAATTTTTCAATCGCATCGCAGTAGCATTGTAGTTTTTCACGGTATCTGCAATTGCAATACATATTACTCCAAGCAAGAGTAACTCGAGTGAGACACTACACGCTTGACGAGACGAAAAAAATTGAACAAGATACTTTGGAGTTGACATCGTGCGAACTATTCATATTAACAAAAAAAAAAAAAAAAAAAAAAAAAAAAAAAAAAAAAAAAAAAAAAAAAAAAAAAAAAAAAAACAAAAAAAAAAAAAAAAAAAAAAAAAAAAAAAAAAAANAAAAAAAAAAAATCGAGATTGAAAAAGAAGCCTTCGTACGAACCACGCAATCCTGCTCGGAAAACATGTAGTCGTTGTAGAACGGGTTGTTCATGATGCAAGTCTCGTAGTAAAGCGATTCCCAGCGCCAGATCGGCAGGAGCTTGATCATCAATAGTCTACCGATGGCCGAGAAGTGGATGCCGATGAAGTCAAGCTGGGCCGCCAAGCAGATGAGCGTGCCGAGGACGACGAAGACGAGTGTGGCTTGGAACAGGAATTGCAGCCAAGACCGGCGCATCGCTGCCACCAGTGGCTGGCAGATTATGTCCATTTCCTCCTCGGTGAAGCCAGCCTGCTGACAGTATCTGGACAGACACGAGGAGGTTTTTTTTATTTACGGGTAAAACTACCGAGAACTATATGGTAAATGCACATAAACATTTTAACGAATAAACTGTACGGAAATGAAAGGCAATGGTACAATTAATATGGATTCAAATGATTAACCAATTTATTTACAAAATAGTGATGTCTCACTGAAAAACTGGAAACTAATTTATTTGTCTTTATTCAAAGTACATTTTTTTGTTACAAGGCACTTATGATAACAAAATTGATGTATTGGTTCTTAAAAATTGTGACACAAGAGAAAACAAAAACGGTTTTCTACATTTCGTATTCAGCAGTGACGAGAACCCGAATATTAAAAAAAAAAAAAAAAAAAAGTTGTATAGAAATCAAGAGCAAGTTTCGTTTGATCCAAATTTTTCATCGGGACTCCAAGGTATGGACAATCGTGTACACATTTTGTACTCACAGACGAACATTTTTTCCACTGCACGTGGATTTCTAAATTGATCAAGAGAAATAATCTGTGACCCTTTAAAAGCATTTGCTAAACGAAACTCGGGTCAACACTAGAAACCAGTGTTGCAAGAAAGTAAAGCAAAGCCCACAATCGACCGGCAAAAAAACTCAAGCTGCTCTAAGCTTCTGCACCAGCCCCAATCCTCGCATCCAACATGAATCGAAATCAGTAACCCTGGCAGTGAAAAAAATCGACTCGCACCAAAAGCACACAATACCCACTTGTAGAAAGAGTTGAGCTCGTCGTCGATCAGCCTGAGCTTCTCCGCGTGGGTCATCTCGTGAGGCTCCTTGGGCCCGAGCTTCTTCAACGGCTTGGCACCTTTGCTCCCCGACATCTCGATGGGCTGGCTTCTGTCACTCCTTCGATGAGCTAAGACACCAAGGGAAACAGCTTTTTCAGCTCTGGTGGCTGGTTGTGAGCTGACGACGCACACTTACCAGGGGTGCCGCTTATCGAGCGTATCTCTGCTGTGCATGCGTCGGACGGACCAACGCGCCGCAGAGTCGAAGCTTCATGGGGTGGTGGCTATTGATTTTTACTGGGGAAAGGGACGCGGCGATACATCCACCAACCGTGAGCAGCTGATTTTTTTTGTACCTCTACAGCTTTTTTTCGCCGCTCCATGCCTGTCTTCGTGTTCTTCTTGTAAAAAAATCCATGGGCTTATTCTCGTTACGGTGGGAGTATCGAATTAATTTTTTTCGGTACAAAATTTAGCCTTTCGAATAAATCGTGTGATAAAAAAAATATTTACAAAACCCCGCACTGCTGTCTAGAAGTCGATGTGGCTTGTAGCATGTAATATATATCCTGAGAGAGATTCCTATTTTGTTATTACGTTGGGCTTTTCAAAGTCCATTTCAAATTTCAGACCAAGATTATTTTTATCAGTCTGCAATTGAGGTGTAACACACTATCTTGGAATGCTGTGAATATACAATAAAACCTGTGTATTAGTTTGGTAAAAATAAAAAGTTGGGAAAAAAGAACGGCTCATAGATCTATTAAAATTTATTACGTGATCCTATAACATTCAGATAAATCGTTTAAAATTCTGATGAACATATGTATTTAATCGCATGAAAATTTTTTATGATGGTGTAAGATAAATTTTAATTAACCTTATTCTAATCTAATTAATAGGAAAGTAAAACCCCTATCTATAAGTTATGTATTTATAAGTTTTATGTAATTTAATAAAATAATTTAAAAAATGATACTTTATCATTCCAAAATCAGTGAAGCAGAACAGTATGAGATGGGATGGAAAATCAATTGCATGAAAGGATTTAGATTACGAGTACATGGACCATCAAATCATATTTTTAAATTATTGCGTTACCAAATTTAAAAAATTGAATCTGTGACTTCACATGATATATATTTTTAGGTATTCAGTTATTTTTTTAGCGAGAAAGTTCTAGTGAAACGTGAATAACTGAAAATATAAAATATAAAAAAATTTAGTAAACAATGTATGAATCTGCAAATTAAAATTCAATTCATTAACAATGTAAATAAAAGATTTGCAAGTCCTTAAAATCGAGGTTGCAGCCAACAATAGGACATTTTTTACATTAACTTAGACTCTGTCTTAGTCTTGTATGAAGTTGAGCCTTCAGATAAAATTAGTTATATTTGATAGTGTGTCCCTGAATTTTTGTTTGTCAATATATCTTTACTCTAATTTTATTTTCATGTATTTTTTAACATCTGTTTTGGTCTTTAAGTCCAAAACTTTTTATCTCTACCTATGGCACTGTATAAAATATGTTACAAACCCTATATATATATATATATATATATATCCTATATCTCACGAGCCCTT